TACGCTCTCCATTTTTGAATGACATCACTGTGGGCACTGCAGTTATACCGTAATCCATTGCAAGTTCACCAGCTTGATCCACATTGATCTTCGCCATTAATACAGCACCATTTCGTCCATACACCTGGAAGAGCAGTCAAGCATTACCGTGGACAAGCAGTGATACTGACATGAATGCTAGCGACCCGCGCGTTCAAGGAGGGAAGGTTCGTAACCATTGAATGTGTGCATGATAAGCACTTACAAGCGCACCAACCCAGCCCATGTAGCATTTACTAGTTGTGACCTACCCTCCATATACTGCGAGGTGTGTGTGGCGACGCGCTTCCTCTGAACAGGTGGACTCTGGGGTGAAACTGCCAAGTTAACATGTTCCGGACCGCGTGACACACATGGTGTGTCATAAATTTGTTTCTATGCAGTGCTTTATCCAATCAATTTGGCCGTACTTACCCCATAGGCGATTCAAAAAAGAGAGGGAATTACTGAGAAACAACTTATGAAAAAAGACAAAAGGGTCCGTAGATGCGCGCAGTATGGCAGTCCGCAATATGTTGGAAACGGAAAAGATCTCATGAACATTGTCTAGTTTGATAATCTTCCTGGGGAGGGGGGTGGGAATGTTCAGTATTGACGCTCCGGATGGATTTCGCGACTTCGGAGTGGCCTCTTGCAGGTAGTAGCTCCTTATGTCTTCGGGAAGCAGCTTGGGAAAGGATGCACATGTGGCTTGCTACGACTGTGGAAGAAGCATAGAATGTCGGGAATCAATTAGTGGCTGACTTCCACATTTCGCTCTTTTTGAGAAATGGGCGATGCAGGAAACATGTTCTACAGCAGCGGAACGTGGCGGCAGTTGTCTCGTTCCCAGCGAAGAAAAGCGGCAATAATGATATGGTGCACTTATCACCTAAGATTCACCTGCGTAATTTCCCTGCGCGGTCCTAGGTTCCGATCCCAGGTCGACTCCCGCCCAGGCCAACCAAGCCTTCTACCCTCCGGGGACGGTGAAATTGGTACCAGATTCGTCTGGGAGGATAAAACACTGACTTGTACATCGGCTGGCCACCGCAAGTCATTGTTTAGGCCACACTTCAGCCCGAGTTAAGCTACGCTTCTTGGGAGACATTTCGTTTCGGGACAATACCAAGCATGTATTTGTCTAGCCTAATTCTGGATAGTAGTTGTCTCAAATGAAAGGATCCCATGAGAAACACATCCTAAGGCATGCTCAAACGATGTACGCCACGCCCCTTCCGATTCCGAGGTATGGAGTGTGTGTGGTGCTGCTGGTGCTAGTAATTGAAATGGAGGCGCACATAGTGGGGGAGGGACAACTCACGCGCTTTTCTACCTCTACTCACGGCCTAGACTGCGTGAAGAGCATATTTCTCCACGGAACTATCTCCAAGCGACTCTGGTCGTCTGCGCTTTGAGCCTTTCTGGCAAGGGGATACAGAGGTGCGACCAAGTGGTCTCCCCCCCCTCCCTTTTTTTTCAGTGCCGAAATTAAAAACTGTTTCCTGGTATGCCTAACAGGTTTTTATGGTGTACTATTTTACTGAGCTGGCCACAATCATAAGTACCATGAAAAAATGCTGGGCACGCAGCGAGAAGATCTGGGTTTAAACATTATTGCCAGGCCTCAATAAAAGGTTCCAAGAGAAGGAAATGGAAAATGTTCGCATAGGGTTTGTCTGTCAACGAACTGAACCACCAATTTGATAGCAACTTCAACGTCAGCCTTTCCGCTTTTGGAGCGACACCTACGTGGCAGTAAGTACTCCGAACAGGACCATATTGATTAGAAACTGCTGAAGAGTGAAAGAAAACAAGCGCCAAACAGTACAAAAACCGACCTTTTCCTCAAGTCGAGGACCAAGCGTTCTGCAGGGGCCACACCAGTCAGCGTGAAAATCAACTATGACAGGTTGCGGTGAATTGACGACCTGGAAAACATTTGTGCTGTACGATGTGAATGTCACGTCGTTTTGCAACACTGCAATTTGCCAGTAAGCTACGAAAATTCCAAGAATAAGAGAAACTTCCCGTCCAGAACCTCGCGTAGACGTTTCTGGACGAAGTTACAGAGGCTTGTACCCGAAACGTACTCAAAAAAACGAAAATAGATTGGACCTTACGTTCTCGCAGCGAAAAATTATTCCCACATTATTAATGCAGCCAGTTCGATAGCTACAGTCTGTTCGGTGCGGATGATGACGCGTGTCCGCGCGACTGCTTTTGGCACGCCGCCAAACCCATTTTCCTCCAGTTGTTTGGGCAGGTAAGCTGCAACAAGTGGTGAAAACTGATGGTACGAACGATATGATACAGCCCTGTCGCTTGCCAAAAAATAAGAAAGGAGTGGGTTAGCGCAGCGCCAAACGCAGCCGCGCGGACACGCCCCATCATCCGCAGCGAAGCAGAGTGTAAACAGCTCGGTTTTTGTTGATGAAGCACCTTATAAGATTGAGACTACGACAAACATCTTTTTAAACGAACGCCCACTTCCATTCTCACCGATTGCTGTCCGCTAAGGCTGACATGAGCCTAGTACAGAGATGGGAATAGAATCAGTTTGGGAGGGGCACAGAGAACCGAAATAGTCACGCCGGCGCGTAGCTCCGAAACCGCGTTGCAGAAATCGTTCACATCTTTTTGCACAATAGCAATGGTTCAGCCATTCAGCAGCTTCTTCTACCGCATCCGCGGTGCTCCAGTCAGGGCATCGTTGTTGGAGGAATTGCAACAGGAGGCGGGGATCGTATTTGGCCGTCAGGAGAGGGGGTCGTATTTGAGGCTGAGAAAAATTTATTTTGATAGTTGGTTTTTCCTTGCTTTACGGACTTTGT